CTGCCGCTGCACTTTTCGGCCAATTTGCATTTATAAACATTTGCTGAGCGAGGCCACGGATACGGATACGCCGGGCGAGGGCAAACTGTAGCAGACAATTTAGCATATTCATGGAACAACAACTAAAACAATTAGGCGGCAGGTGGCAGGTGGGATGGGGCAGTTGTTTCCACCGATTCGCGCCGCATCTTCATCCGCAACTTGCTCTTGTTTTTTTGTGTTTTTTTTTTCGGGGGTAATTTGCACGTCACTCGAATGTGAGCAGGAAGACTTGACTTGTCTTGACTTGACTCGACTTCACCCCACTTCTAGATGTCTGGGCATTTTAGCAGTTTTGGTGGCGAAAATTGAATTCCAGTCGCGATCTCTCTCTCTCTGTTCTTGCCCAGTCATTTGGCCTGGCGTTTTTATAGAAACTTCATTAGTCCAAATTAAATGTTGTACGCGTTGTGAGCAGATAGCGTGGCATTGCCAGGACCCCGGGTGCAACAGGACCCATCCAGCAGACATGTCGAGGGCTTTGCCTCACTGAACCGCTGAAGAGTGGTTGCCAGCCAGTCAAGCTGAAGTGCAGATACATCCAGGTAACCAATGTTGACTGCGAAAAGTTTTCGGACCGCAGCAATTGAATGAGTCACAGCGGGATGGGAAAAGTTGTTCATCTCACGAACGGAGAAAATCGAGTTGAAAGTTTAATCCTTTAACTGCCCCGAAAAAAAGGTGCTCTATAAATCGATATCAACAGCAGCATTTTTCGGGTTTCCCCAATCGGTTTAATGCAGTTGCGCGCAGCAAAAATTGTATTAAATAGTCTTGATATACAATTTGTGGAATTTATACAGGTTCTATAAAATTGTATATTCATAATATAATCAGTTAATTCTTTTTTAAAAAACATAGCCTATTTTATGGCGTCCAAAGACCTTTAAAGCAAACTTAAATTTTTTTAAGCCATTCAATTGATTTTAAATTTTATGGATGGTAGAAAATACGGAAAGAAAAGTCTGGAATCAATAAATCTATCACTTAGTGTGCGTTGGGTACATATAAAGTCTGAGTGTCCTCTATAATTTGTTTTGGACGAACAGAAGTAATATAATTTGGACTAAAAATCGTGCGCACTGAAGTGCAGTGTCGCTTCGATTTGATTTAATTTCCGCTTAAGGCGAATACTGCAAACGAAGTAGGGAAACTTACACATTTTCTGTGGGTTCTTGCAGGGTTTCTGCTTTTCAATTTAGTTTAAATGTGCATCCTGCTGGCTGCCCGTCCACTTCCTACTCCACGGCCCCCACGTCTGAAACTAACCAGAGAATCGAGCATTACCCAGAGAATTGCACGCGCGCCCGGCGACCGTTGAGCGATTTCCGTTGTGGGTTACGTCATGCACTGCACTCGCTGTCCTGCGGGGGGCGGAAGAGGGGGCTGGGGAGGTGGGACTAACAGGAAAATCTTGCTGCAGTCCTGCAGGACTTTGCAGTGGCGCTGGCGATGGCGACGTGACTGAGCGATTACTCATATCCGGCAGCGCCGCAAGTTCCTGTTGTGAGTGCGCGCACAATTGCCCGAAGGAGGTCCGTGTGTCCATGTCCATGTCCATGTACAAGTCCGAGCTTGGAGACCGAGAACCCGAGACAGAGCCCACCCACACCACAAAGGATTAAAGCTGTCGGCCGGCAGCCGCTCGACAGTCATTATGACGTTAATGAAAACCAACACCGACGGTGCACCTGTGCATGCTTCGCACCTGCCCTTCGCCGCCGCCAGCATAAGTCTCGCCCAGCTCGTTTGCATATTGGCCAGGCCTGGACACTCCGACACCCACTGGATATGAGCCACCCCTTCCGGAGGAACCAACCCCCTCCGCCCTCCAAAAACGTTACGGCTGTCTGGCACACAAGTTCGTTTTAATTTTCACAATTATGCATGCAAAAGTGCAATGTTTGTTGGTATTTCACTGGCATTTTCGTTTGGCATTTTGTTGCGTGTTACACACACGCCCCTTTCTCAGCCCGGAATAAGCTCAGTTAATACGTCAAAAATGCAAAATGCATGTTTACCAACATGGATTGGACACTTTTCGGTTTATGTAAATAATGCAAATACATACTATGCATCGCGTATACGTATTTTCAATTATGTATCCGTACGACGCTCCGGTCATGTATGTAATGCCCTGTATTCATTAGCCGCACGCTTTGGTGGAGTGGAATGGAGTGTCAACGCGTCGTCTCAACGCTTCGCTGGATGCGCTCCTGCTGGTGCTAATAACCATTTTGGTGGCCATTATGCTGGGCCAATGGGATATGCTCGGTTTGGGCAGACAGATGCCGAGAAAAGACCTTTGAGTGACGGGAAAGGAAATGGGATAAATGTTTGGTGTCGTTAAGGGGGCCTGAAATAAAATAAAATTTCATTAGGAATGATAAATTACTTACCACAGTAATCAAAGAGTTATTTCGAAATACAATTAGGTTTAGCAAGATAAATATGTCAGAGGGAGAAACAAGTTCTATTATTTAACTGGCTCTATTTAACCATAAAAATTCCTAGAAAATTGATTAATTGCAAGTGACGAGTATTTCAATAGTCGTTTATCATATTGTGTTGCATCTGAAGTTGCTGTTGCAGTTGCTGTTGCTGTCATCAACAGAAGCAACATCAGAACAGCCTTTGCTTAATTATTTTTCCATTAAATGCCAATTAAATTTGGATATTATGTTTGAAACTCGCATTGAATTTCGTGTGCAGCCAGTGAAGAGGATGGGCTTATGCCATTGCCAGGGCAACGTTTGATTGCAGTTGGATTTGCGTATAATTTTTTTTCCCCCATTTTATTATGTGTATATAATTTGCCAGGCAGACAACGATGGGATGGGGGCTACGGGGGGGAGGAGCGAGCTACCGAAATGGGTGGTGGCCAACGTGGCAGACGACCCAGTTGGCAATTGCAAAATGTTCTACATCCATTTGTTTGTTTGTTTGCTTTCTCTATGCCAAGAGTGGAGCGGATGAGCTCGGGTTGTCAGGGGGATGAGCTGTGGTTTTATTGCATTTCAAAAGTTGAAATTATGTTTGCCTTCTGCGGCAAGGCGGACACTGACTGCCTTTTGACTAAGTGGCAAGCAAAGCTGCAACAAAACAGCACTTGAAGTTGCCTTTGAGCCACCAGAATCACAAGTTGCACTCCAAAGCCCAGACATTGCTGGAGGAAAATGGTATTGGGGGAATGGGTTGGGTGTCCTCTAATGGATTTATTTCGTCTAGCTGGGCGTGGTCAATTAATAAACTTTGCTTGTACTTACACCATGAATAAATTGACTTTGGCTTATTGAATTAATAAACTTTCGCTCTATTTTACGTCGCGCGTTAATTACCATTTAAAGAGGCTTTAAGAGTAGTAAATCTTGCACTCCAATCAGGTTGCTACCCCAGAGATGGCCTCCAGTTTCACGTTTCATTATCCCCTGCTTATTTGCCAATGATTCGTTTAATTTCAGCACTTTAACTTACAGAGTATACACTTACCCACACCAGATCCCCCGGGCTTTTGCCTTCGTCAGGTTACTTGGGCCACTTTATTGCCTTCTCCAATTGCTCCTTTTCCACGGTCTGTCGGTCAGTGCTATAAAAAGCCGAGGAGCGGATGAACCAGCGGGGCAGTGAAACATTTTAATGTTTAATAACCAACTTTGGTCTGTGGAATGTTCACTTAAAGCAATCCAGTGGCGGATCATAAAAGGTCCGTTCCGAGTGTTTTGTACAAATTGCTGACCCAAAATGGTTGCGACACGTTTCCAGCGCTTGGCTGGCCAATGAAGCAATTGCCATCCACTGATTGAAATGGCAAAAAGTGCACGGTCCCAAAAGGGTCGTCCATCATCATCATCCGTCGTCCGTCCATCCGTCTGTTCAACAGTCCATTCCCCCTGTGCCTCCTTCTCCTTTATAAAATCGTCATGGTTCATAAAGGCGGGGGATGGGTCTGTTGCGGGGGAGGCCTGCAAATCGAAACCTTTGCCGGCGATTCATTTGCATAAATTCCATGCGCACCTGCTGCTGAAAGGAGAGGAGGAGGGCACCCTGCGGTCGTCATGGCAACTTTTGCCAGTCTTTTGATCTGCTCAACTCGATAATGATGAATGTGATGCATTTGATTGGATTACATATGTACGCGGCCGGGCTTCGTTCGTTAGATATTCATTTACAAAATGCTAATTGAACGGTGCCTAAGCCTCAGGCCAAGGTCGTATTCTAATCAACCCGATGTTTTGACGCATCTCATCAATTTGCACAAAAGAAGGGAGGCTGAATGCGGTGGTAATAATTTGGATACAATTACCGAAATTTGATTTCGTTCTACTGAGTGCACGGAATCCATTCAAGCGTACTTATCTGATTAAATTTTCTATGAATAGTCATTAAATTATTAAATGTCTTGGATTGATTTAACATCTGTAGTGATTTAAAATCAGGGGTTCTTGATATTGTACATACATTTAGTTGTCTTAAGCAGAGATAATTTTATAAGTTGTTTTGAAAGATACAAAGTACATTTATTTAAGGAAATAAAAATTAGAAAACATTTTAAGTATTCACCGCCTAATTAAAGGGTGTAGCAAAGTTAACGCCAATCTGCGCCTTGGGCGCTTATCTAATTTTTAACGAATGCGACTCACGTTTCCCATGCAAATTAATGGCGCACACCCATCGTGAATGAGTGTGTGTACAATGCATTTGCACTAATACATACATATGTATCTGTTTAGAGTGGACCATTCGGTGTGCTGTTTGGCATTCTAAACGCGCTGATTAAATTTTCGATTTCACATTTGACAGCGAGCGTGGTCGGCGTTTGTGGTGGTTTTGTGAGTTGTGGGGTTTTATGGGTGTTCTGCGGTTGTCGTTATCGACGATTCTGTCAAGTGGCGGCGCCTAATTTGATTGTTGCATACCATTTACACTAATTATGCCAATTTGCTGCGTTATGCTAATTGCAGGTGCCCAACATGCCGCTTAAGTTGCCAACGGAGGCGCCAACGTCAATGCCAACACCTTGCCTGCATCAGCGGCGATTTCTTGAATCTCAGCAGCTCCAGTTGCCACAACAACCGCAGCAGCAGCAGCAGCAGCAGCAATCCCAACTGCAACCTCAATCGCAACTGCAACAGCAACATCTACAGCATCCGCAGCAGCAACAACAACAACAGCAACAGCAAAGTGCTGTCAAAGATGTATCTGTAGCCGTATCCGTATCTGGGCCAGCACCTGTCAGCGATGTGTTCTCCTCGCTGATGACATCGACGGCGAGAACGGCGACAACGGCAACACCAACAGCAGCAACATCCACGCCAGCAGCAACATCACCGGCCCAAGTGGCAACCACCACCACAACACATGAATTGGCCAACAAAGGTGAGTGGTAAAACATATACAAATCTATTTGAGCACGGGGACAATTTCTAAGACCCTTAAAGTCAAAGATAAGCGGAAACCATTTTAGTCGGGGGCTGTAAGCATGCCAACACACATATTGGTTTTGGTTTTAAGGATTCCCAGTGCGGAAACAGAGTAACTGACCTACCTCTTAAAATCAAACTAGATTTCGGCAATCAAATAAATTTAAAATTACCAACCAGATGACCATGAAACTTAATAGAGAGTAAAACACAAAATGTTTTTGTTTAAAATTTGAAGAATGCAAAGCAATCAGTTCTGAAAGATGTGCAAATTTGCAAATAATGAGCCACACAAAGAAAATTCTTTTTTTTAATAAGTTGCCATTTCATTTGAGAGCTGTAGCAATGACGGACATTTTCCTTATTTATCGGTGCCAAGGCAACCCTGGCTGTCAAAGCTCCCCTGCGGGTGTACATTTGCAGCGCTCAAAAGTATGCTATGGAAAAATGTGATGCCTGCATTTTTGCGCAACTGCAAAAATAGAAAAACGACGACAACGACTGACGCCGAACAAGTCGAAGACGACGAAGGATGCACTGGCTGGGGAAATGAGGGTGAAGTTGGGGGCAGGATATAGACGGAGGTGAGGTCAGGCCAAAGGAAAACTAGTGTAGATACGTGCGAAAAGTGCAGGCTGGGCCAAGGAAAATCCTAAGCAAAGCGAAAGCAAAGCCATACCAAAATGGAGCACAGCAGGAACTGCACACAATCACCCAAACACACTCTCATTCACATTTCTCCACATACAGCTGGGGTCATATAAATGGCTTTAAATCTTTTATACAGAAATCTTGTCCATTACTTGGTATACAACAAATTTTAAAAGGATTTACAATATTAACTTTAAATTCTTAGCTACTTCATACAAATCTTCTAATTTAATTAGCTTAATCTAAAACTAATCTATTTGGAATGGTTTCGCTAGTATTTTGACCTCACCTGTACGCACACGCGAACGTGTGTGGTTGCACAAACAGATGCAATGGAAAAGGTGCTCGATGTTGACTATGGCTGCTGCCAAGTGAAAAACGATGCCTAGACAATGATAAAGTGAAACTGCACACACTGAGGCTGCTGCAGAGTGAGGGATACAGATGGATATACACTATACACAAGGATGTAGAGATGGGGAGTTCAAGGAAAGAACAGGATAAAATCGCAAGGCGAGCTGAGCAAACTGAGCGAGCAAACAAACACAGCGAAAGCAACGAGTTCAACAAGCTTAAAACAGCATACTGTGGGTGGTTCGGGTGGTGGGAGATGGGTTATTTGAGCATTGGCAGGAAGTGCATTTCGGATGCTTTCCCCCAGTTTGTCGTCTGTTTGCCCCCATCCAACTCCACCCATCCGACTCCTCCGATTCTTTAGCTTGTTTTGATTTTGTCTTTTGTGTGACCAGTCAAAGGAAGTTAACGCGTTCCAACAAAAACCAAAGCGTTAGTCAAAGACATATCCCACCCACACACAACTCGGTTTCCCCCCTTCTGGATTTTCCCAACCAGCAGCTGCAGGCGCTTTAAGTCGACCAGAGCAGCATGATAAATAAATGTTATGTTTATTAAAGACCCCCGACTGCTGGGAAACATTTACACTTGAGAACGCCCCGAGAAGTTTGGACAGCTCGCATCTGGGAATGGGATTTCGATGGGGATTTCACTGGGTTGAGATTTGAGTTTAGCCGCAGCTTCTTGAAGGTGACACGAAAAGGGAAAACTGCAAAAGTTCAGCGTTGATTTCTGTGACTCAGGAAGCCAATTAGCAAGAAATACAAAACTTTTCATACTGGAAATGTAATATTGCATCCGAGGTGTCTTTACTTTTTGGTGGGGTATATTAAAAATGTTGTTTGTTTAGCTTACATAAACCCAATGAATCATTTTTGACTTTAAGAAATTATTGATTTTTAGAATCTGTCAGCTGTAAGCAGCTTTTTAAAGACAGTAATAAGAGAAATAATTGGAAAATGGAAATGCATAAAATAATGGATCATTCTTATTCTGAGTTTGGTTTATGCCAGATTTAAAACACCTTTATCCAGACCTTTAACAATCTCTAAATATTTTGTTATGAATTTGTGTAAGAGTATAAATATTTTGCGCTGTTGCTTGATGATTGTTTGTATTGGATTCCCTCTGCAATCATTCAGGAAGCACTCGCAAAAACTTTTATTCTATTGACACCGCACCAATTCAGCCTCCGCATTTCCACCCTTCCCACCTGTCCCCTCTTGTCTGCCATCGCCGCAGGCTGGCGGAGTTTTTGCACATTTATCGCACATTTATTCATTCATTTATTCGTGGAGACGAAGATGGAGATGGAGTAGGCGTGGCAGGGGCAGAGGCAGGAGAAGGGGCGAGGTGCACAAGGGAGACAGCTCAGCAGTTGGGCAAACATTTGGCAAACATTGTTAAAAACTTTAAAATGAAAAGGTTAATTGAAACAAAAGGGACTTGATGGCAAAAGTTTAACCGAGCGCGTCCAATGCGTACCGCCTACCAGCCACGCCCACTGCCATTTCGCACCACCGGGCTCACAGAAGGACAGGGGCAACCACTTGCAATCCTCCGGCGGGTGGAGAGTCCAATCAGCGTCGCATTAAAAACCCCACACAAAGCAAAAGTTTTCCACGATTTAGAAATTTTCGCGGGCCATCGCAGATAATTGGGGGAGTAGAAGGTGGTGCCTTGGAGGTGGTGCAAAAGTTGGTCAGACTGCGGTTTGTGTGGGTGTGGCAAGTATTTGCAAAAATAAATAACAAAAAATCAAAAAATCTTTACCCCGGCTAAATGAATTTAAATTTTCTGTGGCTGGTTTTGTTCGCTTTTTTGTGTAGGTATTTAATTTTATTTTTCGAGGGATGCATCCCTTTTTTTTGGGTAAAGCTTTTTAATTATATGTCTGCCATTATATGCTTACGCTGGAAAACCAGCCACTGACGTTGCTCCACCTAAACTGCTTTTTTTTCATTCGGATCTCTTGCCGCACGTTTGTGTGTTCTGATTTTGGGATTCCGGTTGCTCCCCTTTTTTACACCACCCCACTCACAGTTTGCAGGACCTTTTGTGGGTGGTGTTTCTTCGGGTGGACACGTTGCGGGCACTTTAAGGACGCGACGCGCTTTGCATAAGCAAACCAAGGATATCTTGACCTTTCACTGACTTTGCCTTTTCAATTTGTTGCTCCATTTGCAGACGCTGATTGCCACAAATACGGCAATAACAAATTACCTGCCTCGGTCCGGACCACGACCACGCCCACGCCGGCCCCAACGCCTACGCCCCCGCTTCCAAGTGCGATGCCAACTAGTCAAGCATTAACATTAGGCGGAGTACCAGTTGGCGGCGTCCCCAAGCGTCTTGCTGCGGGACATGTGATAAAGCAGCCAACCGGCGCTCTAGCTCCTCCGGCAACGCCACCACCCGCTTCCGGAGGCTCCACCACCGTCATCCAGCAACAGCCTAACTTCAAGGACGACCCTGCAGGCTATCTGCAGCAGCAAACAGCTCTGCTGCATAGCAGCCTGGGAGTTGGCTTGGATGGGGCTAAAACGGTGGCACCAACTTCCGCTGCGAGAGCTCTGCCGCAAGAGCCCGTCGTACACAGCTCCCAGCAGCAGCAACATCAACAGCAGCAACATCAACAACAGCAGCAGCAACATCAGCAGCATCAACAGCAGCATCAACTGCAGCAGCAGCATATGATTGGTGAATATTATTGACAAGAACTAATTAATTATTGCTTTACTTTATTATTGGCGATTATTTCAATAATGGTATTTAATTTTATCAGTGTTTTACTGCGTTATTTTTAAGTTAATTATATTCTAAACATTTCTTAGTTTATTTTGTATGTATTATTTGAAATAATTGTACATTTGATATTTCTTCTAATATTATTTTTCTTGCAGGAATGAGTTCACAGCAAGAACCGACTCAGGAAATCCTCCTGCAGCAGAAGATCCGTCGCCTGTCGGTCTTTGGCAAATGGGAAATGGATTCAGCACCTGCTGTTAATTCTCAACGGGCCACTGGTGCCCGCTCCTTGCAGGTGGACACCGCCGCCTTTGCCCGACCCCAGAAACCGCAGATTACCAGCGTAACAATGGTGCCAGCTCCCCAGGAGTCCCCAGTATCGAGTAGTGCAACCGAGCCGCTGGAGAAGCGACCCGAGCAAGTGGGAGCCATATCCACCAGTCACGAGAGTCCGCGACAGAGCCTGTCCTCGCCCTCGGATTCAGTTGATTCGGCCAAGAGCACGCCATCTGCTTCGCCCAAGCCCCAGATGCATGTTCAGCTGCAGCCACAGCTGCTGCAGATGCGCACACATACCCAGGCGAATCTTCCAGCTCCATCGCCCGTTTCCGTGCCTGCCCACGTCCGTGTGATGCGCCAGCAGCAGGCCCAGATTATTCCCGGCCAGCGGATACCAGTGGCCAGCAGCAGTGCAGCAATGGCCACTATGACCAGAAGCATAGTTACATCATCAGCGGGCCCAACTACGATTACAGGCCGGCCAGTAACCACCACGTTGACCAGCTCAAATCCCACTGTGGCGCAGCTGCAATCGATGGCAAATGCAATGAGTGGAGCAGGAGGTGGTGGGCAGTTAATAATGACATCCTCGGGCCAACTACTGGTCATACCCACGCCCAATAAACAAACTGCGCAGCATCACCGTCCTGGTCAGCCCGGACAAGGAGTCATCATCCAGCAGCAGCAGCCTGCGGAGTTGCATCCACAGCCAGGAGGAGGTTATATTGTCAGCCAACCCGCTCCAGTGGCGGCAGCCAGTTCCAGCAGTAGCAGCAGTACTGTGATCTTGAACTCTGGTGGTGCCAAGCTGCTGCACCATCAAATTATTACTTCGCAGGCCGGTCAGATAAATCAGGCGACTGGAGGAGGGCCAGGAAATCAACCGCAGACAGTGTTGCTAAATACGCTGCCCAACGGAGGTTACATCGTCCAGCAGCAACAGCAATCGCAGACGCTTCAGCAGGCTGAACAGACCTTGGCCATGCCCCAGCCACCTCCAGCGCAAACCCTTATCATCAGTTCGCCGGATACCAAGCGAAGGGCGCGAAAGCGCAAGAGCTCTATTTGCCATACACCGCCGCCGAGTGGCTCGCCCGCCAAAACTATATCGCCCCAGATCTCGCCCAGCATCCCGAGCCAGGCACCAGCTATGCTCCACCAGCAGGCGGCTGCAGCTAATCCTCAGTTCCAACAGCAGTTCCAGTTGAGTCCTGGCATCCAGGGAATCGTGGTGAACAAGCCCAATCCTCCGCAGGCCCAGCAAACGCAGCAACTCTTGCTGCAGAACGGTCAGATCCTTCAGCAAGTTAATCTCATTGGACAGCAGCTTCTCATGCCGGCCGGGTTGGTGATGGGACCGGATGCTACTCTGCTACAGATCCAGAACATGCCCACCACCAGTCTGATGACGCCGCAGGGCCCTGTGATGCTGCGTACGCCATCGCCGCAGAGCAAGCCCTCGTTCATCTCCCCGGGCGCCGGTGGTCAGCAGTACTTAGTGGGTGCCAATGGGCAGCTGAGCCCCATCGGGCAGATCTACTCCACGCCCATGGGTCTGGTGATGCCGACTGGGCAGCAGGGAGGTGCCTCGTTTGTGCAGGCTAGTCCCACAACTACCACCATCCAAATCCAGCAGCAGCCAGCCCCTCAGGCCACGCAGATTAGTTTGCAGCCGGCACAGGCTACCTACCTGACGGAGACGTCGATGAGTCGCCAGGGAACGGCGTCCAGCCCGCCGGACACCACCACCTGCAGTCCACGGAGCCCGGAGCGACCTCCTAGTCATCGTAGCAGTGGAAGCGATATGGTAATTGCTTGGCATAGTTACCATTTATGAATATTCTTCTAAAATATATATTTTTATAGGTTCAATGTGTATCTAGTTCGGAACCTGATGCGGCTGTTTCACCCCAAAGCGTGGAGAGTAGGCAGTCACCATCTTCAACGGACTGTGAGAGAAGTAAGTGCATCTCCCTCTTGGGATGCGACGTTTTAAAGACCTTGCTAATTATATTATGTCTTTACCATACAGGCATATGCAACAACAATCTGTTTACCCAGCCCAGCGGAATATACAAGCACTCGGAGCCCAAGATCAGGCGTATTCACATCACCTCGCAGGCGACGGCCGAGAACGGGATTAGTCTGATGCAGGGTCAAGGTATGCGACTGGCCACATCTAACACAAACTCCACATCCGCTTCCATGACCATAACATCGTCATCATCGGCACCACTAACCACCACTGTGATGGCGGGTCACCGTCAGCTTGTTCAGCGCCAGCAAGCCATGCAGCATCACAATCCAAGCATCTCCAACAGCCATTCCAACACCTTCCTCCAAAGCCACAAAGTAGTTAACATTGACTACCAGGGTAAGGCCCCATCGCTGACCAGCACTAACTGCATCCACACGCTAACACACCACCACAACACCACCCATTTGGCCACTGCATGATCGCCTGCACCATCTACGGCACCTGCACCTTTGTTTAGTTTGTAATCTATGCCCTCCGTTTGTACTCTGCTGGTGCTGGGAACACCGAACTCCGAATACCGAACACCCATGCCCCCGAGTAACCAAAGCCAAAGTCCTAGTCTCTATGTGTGTGTGTGTGCCTTTCGTAGAGTCGCCCACAACAACGCAGCAGCTTTCCTCGGGTCCAACCACTCCGATCCAGGATGCACCACCAACGGTCGAGAAGGCGGTAATCCGGACGCCCACGAAACGTACGCGTCGACCGCAGCGAGGGGCAGTCCGTGCTACGCCCTCGGCGGCCGGTAGCCGCTTCCTGTTGCCACCGCGCTCCTTCGCCATTGGGGAACTGATCTGGGGTCCGGCCCGGGGCCATCCCGCCTGGCCCGGGAAGATCGTCAAGATGCCCGACGGAGTGTGCACGCCGTCGCAGCAGTTCGACCACGTGTGGGTTCAGTGGTTCGGCGGCGGCGGGCGCTCCACCTCCGAACTGATTCCGGTCAACTCGTTGCAGAGTCTCTCCGAGGGTCTGGAAGCACATCACAAGGCCCAGAAGGATACGAGAAAGTGAGCATCGGTTAAGGGTGGGAATGTCTAGGAAAAAATCAGGGGGAGGCTTATAATAAATCTGAATTAATCCAACAGCACAATATGAGGGAACTTTCGGCTATAGGTGAACACCAGACCAGCACTGTAGCTAGAGATATAATACGTATCTCTTAGTTTTCTGTGCGATTTTTTTAAATAACTTTTTCTCTAAATTGGTTAAATATTGAAGTAATATTTTTTATAGATATTTTTGTTTCATTTGTAGTTTATTTTGAAGACTTTATACCTAACATTTTAAGTAAATTTTAAAATTTTGTAGTTTATTTTGTGTTATTATTTATTTTAGTTGTAGTTTACTTTTGCAGTCTTTATTTAGCTCTAGAAGCTACATCTTTTTATATAATTGGTTAGTTTATTTTTGCAGTATTTGTAGCTATATCTTGACAATTGGACATTTAATATTTATAGCTGTGCAATTTAGCGTTTAATCGGCATTTAAATGCATTATTAATTAATTTAATCATTGTTTTTATTTTGACTTTTAATTTGCTAATTAATGTTCTTGTTTCTTTTTTTAAATGCGCTGAACCAAATCCAAAAATTAAACCCTGACCTGCCAACCCCAACGTGAATAACTCTGTGTGTGTATGCATAATCATCATCATCATCATGACCAACAACCCCACTCGAAAATGAAAAAAAAAACAAACCCGAACCCGAACCCAACCTGAAAACAACCAAAAACGCAACCACATACACACACCCACCTTGCGACCACAAAGGAGCCGCAAACTGAACTCGCAACTCGAGCGGGCCATACAAGAAGCAATGACTGAGTTGGATAACATTTCAGCCTCCTCGACTCCCGCAGCCACATCCTTATCCTCAGCCACCACAGCTGCTGTTCCACCATCAGGGCCAGCTGTAATTGGCGGACAACAGCAATATCAGCAGCAGCAGTCGCCCTCTTCAACGAACAACAAAATAAATGGACTCGCGCGGAGCAAACGCCAGGCCAACACAAGTGGGGCCAGCATGGTGCTGACCACCAGCACGGCGGCCACATTGAGTGGCCTCTTCAATCAGCAGCGAGCCAAACCCATACGGATTGCTCCGGCTCCACCCGTGACCACAACGGGCCCAGGAAGCATGGTAGCGATACAAGGAGCTGGAGCGACCGTAGCCTCGGCTGGAACAGGGACAGGGAACAACCTGGCCCGTTCCGAGATCCTCAAACTGGCCAAATGACCAACACTGTCGGCGATGTCGTCGACAGTAAGCACAGCCAACTACACGCTCGTCATCGGGCACAAGTAGTGCGGGCCATACATATAGCTATCCATATACGATACGAGTATAGAGTTTAGTGTTAGATGTCAGGCCTCAGCCTCGGAGTTTGTTGTTGTTTTGTGTTCTTTACCAGACTCTCACACGACTCCCCGCTTAGTTGCGTCGCTGGGCGGCGCGCGCCACACTTTCGAAATAGACAATAAAACAACAAGATGATGTTAATGGAAATCAAGTTACAAAGAAGAATTCTAACCATAAGCGATAGGTTTTGCTTCTTAGAAAGCGCTTCGGCGCAAGTTTTGCGTTGTTTTGTATATAGTAAACACCCCAAGCTACAGATGTTAGTATTAAGTATTTATTTATTGCATATAGATCCTTGGTTTCTATAGATTTTGTTTTCGTTGCAATTTTTAGACTTACCCATTATTTTTATAAATAGGTAGCTTAAGCTTTAGCCACTAAGTTAAAAACGGATTAATCATCAAGAAAACAGATCTACGCGAAAATGCGTTTAACCATTCATTTGCTTGTTTAAGCACTTAACATCAAATCAAAAGCAGCTACTGATTTTAATTTATTGTGTATGCCGAAAATGTTTTTAAGCTCTAGAAGAACAAATTATTTATGTCAAAAACAAACAAACCCTGAGAAGCGATGAAGGAAAAAATGAGAGAAATTATATTTATAAATTGTTATTATTTATTTAGTTGAAACTATTGTAAAATTATAATTGTAAAACAAAATACAAGAAACGAGATCACACTTAGCGGAACCACACAAAAGAAATAAAAATTAAAAAAGAAAATTTATTTGATTTTTGCTGGAAGTATAAAAAGGAAACTAACGTATTTATTTGACAATAACTACCAATTGTATTTTGTCATGCCAAACGATATTAAACTTTGCCCATTTCCTTTTTGATCCAATGTCGATAAAAGTGCACCCTCGTGAAGATACTGGGAATGTTCGGAGTATCACAACTGAGTCCCAATGATATGATTCCCATAACTTGATAGCGGCAATTTTTCCCGTAATAGGAAATAAGCAGAGGACCTCCTGAGTCACCATTGCATGTGTCCTTGTGCTTCGTAGATCCAACACACAGCTGAGATTTGTTCCTGTATCCTTCCGGTAGTTCATCGTTAGGGTCAATTGTGTTCCGACATCTATTTTTAAAATTATGAAGCTCCACTTTCCTTAGTTTCCTGGACTGGTCCAATCGGCCAACATCCGTCTGACCCCATCCAACGGCAGTGAAGGAATTATACGCGTCTCCATTATTATATGGCAGACAAGCGGGATATATGTATGGGGTATATATTACTGATCGGCGCAATTTCACAATCCCAATGTCGTTGTAAAGAACAGGGTACCGGAAGTTTGGATGTTTCTTTGTTTCAAGAACTTCAAAATTCAGTGGATCCGGACTTCCCTTGACGCCATCGAAAAAAGTTTCTCCAAATTGCACAACATTAACTACTCCCCTGCGGAAATATAATGTAAATATATAATGTAGCTTACATTTATTTAGCTTTTTGTGATACTTACACATCGGAATAAAAACAGTGGGCTGCCGTTAGAACCGCCCGACGACTTATCAATGTGCCACCACAAAAGCATTTAATTTTTCCCAGGGAAGAACGACGAAAACAAAGGTGGGCTGCTGCTGGGAACTCTTCCGTTAGTGCTAATTCGGCACCAATTAACGTCCATTTTAAAGAAGAAAAACTGCAAACTTGTAGAATAAGCAGTGAAAAAATCCACAGGGTAATTTTATATTTTTTAGACTGCATTGAAAGGTGTTTTTGCACAGACTGAAATATGGTAAATAATTTCAGTCATATATAGTTTAATTCTAATTGTGAACCCCCATATATTGTCATTACTGATAAGAGGAAATTTGCTTAGCTTTGCACTGTGTCAATTTGAAGTCATAGTTCAAAAATTATCACTAAAATAATTTGTCTCCACGCCTTTCAACTTTACCGCTGTATTGCTACCTTTTTATTATTGTGATAATTTCAAAGTAGTTTTTTTATACCCTTATAATTTGAGACAAATGTTTGCAACGCAGTGAAGAAGACATTTCCGACCCTATAAAATATATTCAGTCATGGAAAAAATAATAGAAACGACAATTTTTTTTCGTATTTTTCAAACTTTTCTTCAGTAAATTTTTTTTTTTTTAAGTTTAATAATTTTGATTTATGGTCGATACAATTATGTGTCAAAATATGCCAAAACAATAATTTTCAAAAAACGTTATGAACTAAAAAATAATTTTTTTAATTTTTAGGCCTGGAAAAAATAATAGAAACGACTGAGTTAATTTTATTTAAAACAGTTTTGTAGCTTCAAAGCCTATTAGTTTTGATGGTAATTTTAATATAATTCACTTTCTTCCACAAATCTTCCCTAGTTTTGGTCTTAAACCCACCAATCCTCTTCTTTATTATCCCCCAAAGGTGCTCTATAGGATTTAAGTCTGGGGACTGCGAAGGCTATTCCATCAAGGGAACTTCGTTGTCCACAAACCATTTTTTGGCCAGCTTTGAAGAATGGTTCGGGTCATTATCCTGCTGAAACTTCCATTTAATTGGCATTTCCTCTTCAGCATAAATTACAAATCGACTACATTTCGATTCCTACGCCTATATTACTGAAAACAATGAAGCTATGTCGATATTGACTTAAATTAAACACCGATTTCTCTATCTGGGTTCAATAATCCGATTTTTTGATAAGAAGGAACTTACACTCACCGATTATAGAATAGAATTTTATTGATTAAAACGTAAAAAGTTTATTACAGCTCGACTTGAATCATCGATAATGCTGAAACTAGTTATCTCTGAAAAGAGAGAATTGTTGCTAATGCGAATCTGGCAAAAAAGTATTTAAATTTTCAACAAAAAATCCCCTATTGTATATAGTAAACAGTTATTGGACCCGATGCTAGCAGTAGTTGCTTATTTTCTTTAAATGTTTGCCAACTCTTTTTTGATCCAATCCCGGAAGAAGTGCACCCTTGTGTACAAACTGGGAAATTCCGGAGTATCACATGCGATTCCAATTGACGTGATCCCCATGACTTGATGTTGGCACCCATCTCCTGTATAACTAATAAGCAGTGGACCTCCTGAGTCCCCATTACAGGTGTCCTTATGTCCCGGCGATCCGACACAGAGCTGGGAATCTGCTTTGTATCCTTCGGGCAAGTCCTCGCTCGGTTCTGTTGTCCTCCGACAAGACTGACCGTAGTTTTGGAGAACCACCTTTCTCAGTTCCTTGGACTGTTCGTATTGGGTGAATCCTTTTTGACCCCATCCGATGGCCGTAAAGGAAGCCAACTGATCTCCACCACTTAAGGGCAGACAAGCGGGCAGCTTGTACCGGTTATATCTGACTTCCCCACTCAGGCGGATAATCCCAATGTCATTGTAGAGAACTGGATACCGAAAATCTGGATGGGCCTTCCTTTCGAGAACTTCAAAGTCCTCTGGTTCGGCATCGTCCTTGTCGCTGTCGAAAACAAGTTCTCCGAGGCGCACAATATTTACTGAACCACTGCAGTATTATAATTATTGTTTGGTTTAGAAATCAATTGTGATATTAAACTTACACATCCGAATAAAAGCAGTGAGCAGCTGTCAAAACCACGCGATCACTGATCAATGTGCCACCACAGAACCACTTGGTTTGGTTTTTGGCAGAGCTACGATGGCCAAGGCGAGCTGCCGGGGTATACTCCTTCGGGGCAGCAGGAACCCCGCCAATATCTAATAAAAAAATAAAATATTTCCAAAAACTATAACTGTATAATAAAATTACAATTACCTTGATTAACAGATATTTGAGCAAAGCTAAAGCCACAAAGGAAAAGCAGTATCAAAATAAATCTTCCCATTTTGTATTTTTCAGACTTCAACTGCATCGGAAGAAGATTTCTCGAAGACTAAAATCAACTTAATAATTGGAATCAATGATTTCATTTAAATACCGGTTTCTTTATATGCGTAAGCTTTTTGCAAATGGAAATTACATTTCTTTGGGATTCACTAATCGGATTTATTGATAAGTCGGAATTTACATTTCCTAAATATAGAATAGAAATTTATTGAAATCATGATAAGAACGATAATTGTTAATTGCATTTTTCTTGCTAAATGTTAATGCGTAGCAATGTTCTAAATGCCAATGGAGTAAAAAAATAACTATTCTATAAAGTATTAAAACTGTTGTTAACAGCAGCGTCTTGGTTTTTTTAACTGCCAGTCAACTCTCCTTTGATCCAATCCCGGAAGAAGTGCACCTTCGTGTACAAACTGGGAAAGTCCGGAGTATCACAGGCGATTCCAACTGACGTGATACCCATTACTTGATATTGGCAACCATCTCCGGAATAACTAACGAGCAGAGGACCTCCCGAGTCCCCATTACATGTGTCCTTATGTTCCGGGGATCCAACACAAAGCTGGGACTGTGCGTGAAATCCTTCAGGCAAGTCCTCGTTCGGTTCTATTGTTCCCTGACAAGTCTGACCATAGTTTCGGAGAAGCACCTCCCTCAGTTCCTTGGATGGCTCGAACTCGTCGGGTCTCTTTTGACCCCATCCGATGGCAGTGAAGGCATCGAACTGATCTCCATTATTCAAAGGCAAGCAGGCGGGCAGCTTGTAACGACTAAAGGTTACTTTCCTACGCAAACGGACAATCCCAATATCGTTGTAGAGAGCGGGATACCGGAACTCTGGATGGGCTTTCAATTCGAGAACTTCAATGTCCTCTGGCTCGGCATCGTCCTTGTTGCTATCGAAAACAAGTTCTCCCAGTCGCACAATATTCACTGCTCCGCTGTCGAAATATAATTATTAAGATATTTTATACGAGTTTAAAGTTCGAATTAGAAATAGTACCCACATATAAGAATAAAAGCAGTGAGCAGCCGTCAAAACCACCTGATTACTAATCAACGTGCCTCCGCAAAACCACTTGGTTTGGTTGCGAGTAGAATAGTGATGTCCGAGACGAGCTGCCATGCGGTATTTTTGTGGATGGGCTCCAGTGCCACCAACTATCACAGTTAAGTCTTACTTAAATAAATGGATAATTATCTAAATATAATATATAGTGGTATTTATAAGCAGAACGCTTACCATTAGTGGCAGATATTTCAGTAAAGCAAGAGACCCATAGGAGAAGCAGTGAAAAAATCCGTATATACATTTTCTTTCCAAAGTGAAACTGCACCGAATAAAGGCTTCATAAAGACTAAATTTAATAAATAATTTCATTCTAATACCAGTTTTCTTATCAGTTAAAGCCTCTACACACATTTCATGTATGAGATTCTGAAAGGAGAACAAGTAAATATAGAATGCAAGGTGGAAGATTAACGATGATTATGATTAGGATTCTTTATAAAACAAGAAAGGAAAGCTAACTTCGGACGGAGCCGAAGTTGATATACCCTTGCAGAATATTCTGTAAATTATATTCTTCAAAATTATTCATATGATGTATTCTTAATACTCATAAAAGATCCAACTTCCTAACTTTAAAAACACCAAAGTTATGGCATTTCCAATCGTTCAGTTATATGGCGGCTATAGGATATAGTCGTCCGATCCTTATGAAATTTGGTAGGTCGGATTGATTGGCCAAAAATAAAACCCATAGAAAATCCCAACTTCCTAACTTTAAAAACATCAACGTTATGGCTTTTCCGATCGTTCAGTTATATGGCAGCTATATGATATAGTCGCCCGATCCGGCTCGTTCCGACTTATATACTACCTGCAATAGAAAGACAACTTTTGGGAAATTTTTAAGCAGATAGCTTTAAAACTGAGGGACTAGTTTGCGTAGAAACGGACGGACGGACAGACGGACAGACGGACAGACGGACGGACAGACGGACAGACGGACATGGCTAGATCGACTCTCCTGGTGATGCTGATCAAGAATATATATACTTTATAGGGTCGGAAATGTCTCCTTCACTGCGTTGCAAACTTTTGACTGAAATTATAATACCCTCTGCAAGGGTATAAAAATTAACAAAAATGTAATGCTCAATACCTTGGACCTTTACGTCAAATAGAATTACTGGATAATCTTAACTAAAATATTTAGTATATTCCGGGACTCCAAGCTGAAAGGAGCGGAGACTAATCGGTTATACAAAATGTAAGAATTCGGGTTTTTTTACATTAATTACGCGAACAGCTAACGAAATGTTTTGAGCAGATATTCAGATCTGCTTAGCTGAGCTAACCAAACGTTTATGGATGAACCGAAGTTGGAGAAGCCGCAGCCTCCACCGCGCAATGAGCCGGATCTCCAACCGGTGAATGGGATCGTCCAGCCGCCGGTCATTCCGCCGCCAAATCGTCCAGGCCGCAGGACCAATGTGCTGGAGGACCTCAAGTCCGTGCTGAACTGCATCTGGCGGAGTCGCTGCTCGTATCACTTCCGCAACCCAGTGGATTCGGTGACCTTGGGTGTGCCCGATTATCACACGTTGATCAAGCACCCGATGGACCTGAGTACGATCAAGAAGCGATTGCACAACAACTACTACTGGCAGGCGGACGAGGCCCTGGATGACTTCGAGCTGATCTTCGAGAACTGCATGCTGTATAATCTGGAGGGCACCCCGGTCCATCAGGCGGGCAAGGAGCTGAGGAGCGCCTTCTACACGCGACTGGCCTCGATAGACATGAGCAAGGAGGAGGAACTGAAGCCCAAGCAGGACAAGCGCAAGCGAAAGGCTGCCGACACTCTGGACGCTGCTCCGGCTTCCACAGTGGCCCCATCTCTGGCTCCAAGTCTTCATCCTCCTGCGGACTGGCACCTATGTCGACCTACCAGAAACTGCCCCACACCTATTCCTGGTGTGACTCCGCTGCAAATCCCCTTTCGCAATATGCTGCCGCCTTCACTGATACCCAATTTCATGCCCAATTCCTTGGTCAATCCTTTAACTTCAATGCTGTCCATTCCTTCAATGATGAATCCTTTGAGAAATCCCTGGGAGTTGCCCCAATTAAGAAGCGATACTATAGGGAATACTTTAAAATTGCAGTCGGGGAAGCAGGCTGCTCCACCAACTATCTTCCCACCAATTGTCCTGCCACCCCCTTTGACTTCTGCTCCCATTGAACCCGTGCTCTTGCCACTGCCAAAAACGCCACCTCCTCCTCCTCCTCCTCCTCCGACACAACCTCCCCCAAAGCCCAAGCCACCAGTCATCTGCTATAAATCTCTGGACCGATTGATCGAGAAGAGCCACTGCGATCATCTATTGAAGTCCATGGTGAAGCGAAAGCGTCGCCAGTTCACTTGGGCCTTCAATCGTGCGGATCACTGGCGCAGATACTCACAGAATCCAGAGTACGACCACGATCGGGAGGAGAAACTGGATTGGAAGGTGCTGCAGGAGCGCTTGGATTCGGACATCTTTGTGAACTTGGATGGCTTTGTGGCCTCCGTGCGAAAGATGTTCCAGAATGCATTACGCTGCTTTCCTGACGACGGATTGGTCAAGACCTCCGTGAAGAAGTCGAATGAGATCTTTGAGAAGAGGCTGCCCAAGTACAAGGAACTGATAACCAAGGCCAAAGAAAGAGCACGGGAAATGGTGGCCACCAAGGAAAAGGACATGGAAGGACTAGAAAAGCCCCGTGATCAGGAGGCAAGTGATGACCAGAGCACTGAAAAGAGTTCGGAGCCCAGTTCGAGAGATCTTATCAAATCGGAGCCCAGTTCAGGAGATCCCATTAAATCGGAGCCTGTGGTTGAGAAAATCGATAAGAGTGATACAATTGTAAAGGAAGAAATCAACAGCGATATTAAGGCAGTTTAAAACCCTGTGTCCTATCATGAAAATATATGCTAGGCTCTAATTAGTTTAAAAATATCTTAAATAAGATTGATTTTAAGACTTAATTACTTATAAACATACAACATTTGTAAAATCATTTTAATTGACCGTCCTAACACTTAAAAATTAAATTTAGCAAAAGAATATAATAATTTTAAGCTATAACGCTCGAGCACACGCAGCGCCCCCTAGTGGTACATTTTGTTACTTCTATCAGATGGAGCTGAGACCGAGATCTGGCAACTCTACACCGTGAGCCAGGCGCCCTCTCAGCACGTCATATCGAACATTTCCTTTAGTTAAATAATAAAAAGTGCATTTTTCATCGGTAATTTATAACTGAAGTGGAAAATAACAGAGCATGCTAGAACTGGAATGAGACTTCTGACAGTCGTTAAGATAGAAAAACATCGATGACGCCCGGACAAGTATCGATAATACCGATGCTCTGAATACATCGGTGACATCGAAGTTGCCATCGATGGTCCTCCACCTCTATTGTGGAGACTGCGGAAATTTTCAGGAAAAAAAGCGAAGATAAGTGGAATTTAACGGAACCACCATGTCGTACCAACTTTACCGCAACACCACGCTGGGGAACACCTTGCAGGAGAGCCTGGATGAGCTGATTCAGGTGGGTATTGGGCCCTTGAAAGTGACCGCAGCTAGGCAGAGCGCAATTTAATTTTTGGGACTCCATATTGCAGTACGGCCAGATCACGCCCGGATTGGCGTTCAAGGTGCTGCTGCAGTTCGACAAGAGCATCAACAACGCACTCAACCAGCGGGTCAAGGCCCGCGTGACCTTCAAGGCTGGGAAACTGAACACCTACCGCTTCTGCGACAATGTCTGGACCCTCATGCTCAACGATGTCGAGTTCCGCGAGGTGCATGAGTTCGTCAAGGTGGACAAGGTCAAAATCGTGGCTTGCGACGGCAAGAGCGAGTTCTAAATACTACCGATCCGATCTGAACACCATACACCATTATAACCATTACAAATAGTTGTAAGATTCGTAGACGTTAAGCTAAAACCCGACCGTGTGATGCTGCAGGCATTACATGAAATACACTGTTAATTCATAGTTCAACAAGTGGATACTATCCCTTATTCCTGGAGGATTATTTTTCAAGACCCTTGTAAGGTTGGTATACCCTCTACATAAGTTTAGTAAAACAATGAAGTCAGATTAATTCTTGGTTTTTATTTCACAACGACTAAAATGCGGCTTAAACACAATCGGTTAGCTTAGCTAATAAAATTCATGCGTTCGTTTAAAATTAAGAGCATCATAATTGTTAAAAGAAAACTACGGACTAATACAGGTTTACGAGTAAATGTAACGTGGTTATGAGAGTACACCCCAAAACGGTTCGGTTAAATGCTAGCTTTTGTTTATAATTTCGCTATTGCAGCTCCTACGCCCTTCGGCCCACTGGCTTCAGTAGCTGCAACTTGGTGGAGATGGGTCTCAGCGATGATGAGGACAATGGCGACGATGATGATGATGATAATGTGGATGTGGATGCTCCTGGCGATGGGGAGTACGGATAGACTGTGTTGCCACTGCTGGTGGAAAATCCCGCAGTGGTGCTTGTTCGAATGAAGGGCGCCGGATGTGAGTACTCCGACACGGGTTGGGGCTCAGTTCCCCGGAACTCCTGTGGCAACTCCCCTCTGTAAGCTCCAAACTGCGGAGTGGTTCGTACGAGCTGCTCCAAAGGCGTAAGCCCATACTGGGCATGACGCTGGTGGACTCCTACACTCTCGGCCGCATCCAATTTGGGTGGCAGCACCAGGCTACTGTCCACCACGGACTTGCCATCGAAGGTGTAGAGGGCTCCACTTGGTAGACTCGAATGGGGAACCTTGCGGTTGTCCGGCGGCAGGTAGTAGGTGTCAATCCGCTCCGCAGCAGCCGCCACTCGGTCATCCATTTCCAGTTCCATCTCATCCGCATATATATCCTCTTCCTCGGGACCGAAGAGGTCCTCTAGGAGTTCGGATTCCGGTTTCTTGGTGGTACTGCTTGGAATCTCTTTTGGAGTGGTCGGCGCTGCCTTCTTGGTGGTCTCTTCAAGTACCTCTTCATCATCTCCTTCGGGAACTGCCTCTAGTTCCAGCTCCTCTTCGTTTATCTCGTCTTCAAAGAGTTCGTCCAAGGTGGGCTTCCTCAACTCCGAGGCGGAGGGCAGGGCGTGCTCCAGAGCCGCAGAGGGCAATCTTAAGGCCGAGGCCGTGGGACTCACCTCCTTTATTTTAACCTTCAATATCTTTGAGGCATTGGTACTGTCCAAAGGAGAGGGTATAAACATGGGCTCAAAGCTCTGCGTTTCACTGCCTCCTTGTTGAGCTGTCAGGAATAGCGTATCCGTTTCCATCACCTCATCGATTTCGGTTCCCGGATCCTCCCGGCGATGGGCCACTTGCTCAATGATTTCCTTGGGCAACTGGACCCCACTGCCATCTGTTCGCATGATGGGTCGGAAGCCACTTTCCACGATCACGGTGTCGGGCTTGAAGCCCTGATTTACGGCTGGTCGCATACTGGCGATTTCTTCCAGGGAAGGTTCCTTCACGGGAGGACGTTTCACCAGCGGCGTGGTCGTGGTTGAGCTGGGTGTGGTGCTGGAGGCGGGAGTAGCTATGGGCTTCTGATCCCCCTTTCCCGGCTGATTAAAGAAGGCCGTGTTTTGCAGCGAGCCCTGCGGTTCCAGATCCACATAGGGCACTGGAATTTTCGGCTTACCCTTGGCCTTCAGTCGCTCGCCCTTGTTGCCCAGCCCCAGTCCTCCGCCCAGTTCAGTGGGCTGTCCCAGGAGCAGAACCGAGGCAGCCAGCGGCTGCAGCGGGAAGGGTTTCTCTTTGACGAAGGGCTTCAGCAATCCGGGCACCGGCTTCCTGTAGTGACTCACAATCAAGGAGGGCTGCTGCAGAAGGCCGGGATGCGGATGCGGATGCAGATGCGGATGCTGCTGCGGGAGGATGGGCCTGGAGGCCGGGACCTTCTTGATGGGCGCGGGAAAGGGGCGACGGCCGGGCAGCTTCACCGGATGGAAGAGCGGGGCGTTCTGCGGCGGACGCAGGAACTCGGACAGGCCGATGGTTTTCTGGGCCAGCGCTGGAAGATTAGCGGTTAGGTTGTGGTGATGCAAATGGAGATGCGGGTGGGGGGCATGCTGCTGGAGGTGGTGGTGTTGCAGGCGATGCAAGTGCGGGGGATGGTGGATGAGATGGGGACCGGCCGCGAAGATGGGCAGCTTCAGGTTGCCGGGGGAGGGTGATGCTGATGGGGATGGGGATGGGAATGCGGATGGAGATGTGTTCAGCTTGTGGGCATGGGTCTCGCCCAGCAGAATCTCGGGTCGCGAGCTGATCTCGGTCGGGGTCACGTTCGGTTTCTGGTGCGGATGCGGATGCGGAATCGGGTTCTGGTTGGGATGGGGGTTCAGATTCGGGTTCCTCAGTAGGCTCTCCTCGAGAGCCTCAGCAGCGCGGATGCCATCTGAAATCAGTTTGGTTATTTCCGAAGATTTCGTTATTTCAAAACTCAGTTTGGGCGGTGTTCCGTTCATATTGTGGTTCTTAATCAAATCGGTTTGGTGCTTCAATAAAAAATTATCGTTGGCGCTGACCTTGGTTTCGTGCCGAACGGACGCCTCTCCGGCGTAGTCCTCGTGCACGGGCGCCGGTTCCGGTTCCGCCGGCAGCCGGATCTCGTGGCGCTCGGAGGGCGCTCCCTTCAGGCCGCCCGCCTCCGAGTCGCAGGCGTCGTGGACGTGGATCTTCCATCCCAGGTAGCGGTGCGTGAAGCAGTGGTAGTACACCGTGTCCGGCGTGTTCCTGTCCGGCTTCCAGCTGATCACGCCTGGCTCTCCGGCGTCGCACTTGAGGGTCAGGGTGCGCTGGTAGGCGCCGAAGGACTGGTAGTCGTCGGCCGGAGGACCCTCCACGTCGGGCGTCCAGTTGCAGAGACGACCCACGCCGGTAGGCGTGACCTGGCCAGATCGGGAGCGATGCACTCCGGCGTAGATGCGAACGGCCTAAAAAAGAAGAAGGGTCATAATATAATAGTGAATTATAAAAGTAATTTATTTTATTAGGTATACAACACAGAGAAAACCACCTAAAGTTTGATGTGCAAAAACTTTGTCAAAACATATTAAAAACTAAACCGCTTTAAATAAATTTTGTATACTTTTACTATTTATGTTCTACTCTTTAACTCTTTATAGTTCAATTTACCCTGTGTATTTTAAAGAAGTTGTTTTTAAACGATTTATGAAAAATATAAATCTCACCTTCTTTTCCTCCTCGCGTTTGTGTTCGTATCCTCCCACAGGATCATCACTGATGTAGAACGGATGGTACTTGGCCGGAATATCGGGGTTGTTGCCGCCCTCCACCACAAAGGTGTAGGTCCTGCCGCGCACCACATGGATCTCGGGGATAAGTAGTCCGTTGATGTACCAGGAAATGCCCCAGCCGACGTGGCCTAAGGTATGACAAAATATAATTAAGTTATGTACAAGAAAGTAGCTATAAAATATTATTTAGGGGATAGAAATCGCTATATTCACAATATTACAACTAAATAAAAAAAACTAAATATTATGCCTAAATAAAGCTGTTGTAATATATTAAACCATTAATTTTTAGTGATAAATAACGTTAAAAAGCAAACAAATATATTTATAATTAAAAACCATATTTCATATATGGAAAATTCATAAAATAAGTCTGGGAGGAAAAGATCTAGCTCTCATTTTGGCAAAGCTATATTTATATTCGGTGTCATGGATCACTATGTTGTTCCTTAAAGGGGCTCACCTGTAATTGCTGGATAACCGTGTTTTCCTCCCGTGGGACCCATCTGGGCGTAGAACACTCCGTCCTCTGGCTCGTGGCACTGGATTGCGGGGATGTCCCAGGCACCATTGCTGTTCACTGGTTTTGGAGTGGGAACGGGTCTCCGCTGGGTGAGAATGGCGGTTTCCTGGCGCCTCTGCGGGGGCTGTCGATGCAGTGCCTCCGCCCTATTCTCGTAGAACTCCTCATCAGGCTCGACATTGGGTCTTCCTGCTGGCGGATAACCCGCTCCACCCGTCGAACTCTGGGCTGCGGGAGAGGAGTCTTCCTGCTCGGATGAGTTGCTGCCAGGACGAGCGCCCTCGGGCAAAGGACAATTCCACTTGGGCTGGCGACCAAACTCGATCTGGTGCAGGTGCTTATTGTAGAACGTGTGGAAGGAGACTTCTCGGAAATCATTAAGCGGTCCAATTGCCCACACTACCGATTCTGCGTCCGTAATCGAGATGGGCAAATCCAAACGATCCGTGGCAGCCAGCGATCTTTGGTAGGTCACAATCGAATAGCCATTCACCATGGCAGCATTGAGCAGTCGGATGGAGTTGGTCTTCTCCGAGATCTTGGTGTCCGGACAGGCGCCACGTCCACCTGAACACTGCGCCTTGCCCTCCAGGAAGTAGTCGGTCGCGAATCCGTTTCCGGTTTGGGGATCCACCCAAGCCACCACGGCATCTGCCCCGATCATCTGGCTGATGTTCTTGCTCGGCGAGATGCCGAAGGACATGTAGTGGTTCGGTTCTGTGGTAATATAGGGATATTGAGAGGATTCTTTACAAAAGTTTGGTGGCCAACTTAAAGCCACGCTCAGAAAAAGTAAGAAACAGAGAAACTAACTACGAAAATCAGAATTATTTTATAAGCGCTCGTGTGACTTGTGATAATGACAAACTACAAGGTCTTTTAAAAATAATCAATCAACAAATCAATTACCAAAAACAATATTGTTTAAGGGTATTTCTTTCTTTAATTTCAAACTCGGAAAAGACTGGACTAATCAATTAAAATTATGTCAAAATTCGAATCAAAAAGTGATCTATCAATATTATTCATTTATGTTGTTTGTCAGAAGAAGAATATTACAAAATGATTTAGGAAAAAAAATGTTTCCTTTTGTACGGTAATTATGGTGATTTTATATCTATTTGACAACCATTAACAATCTTTCAAGCCTTTTTCGAGTACAATCAAATTCTGCGGGAAGTGTCCGGAGCCTCGCAATCAATG